GTGTTTACAATATGTGTTCTCTTGATTACTTGACAGTATTTCATTTTATTATGTATTGGTCGTTTTATGAACAGGTAATAATGTTGAGCCACATAATAAAACTACAATAAACTGCATTATTTCATGTAATTCAATTGTCCATATATTTTATTCAGAAGAAAAAGTCATAAGGTTGTGGAGTGGAAAGTACAAGTGGATTGAGTCCAGCAGAGGGAGCAGGAGACTAAGGACATAATTTTGAAGGTATCAGAGTCCAATGAAGAGATTTTTCTTATTTATAATTTATATAGTAGCTCTGATCCCTTTTCCTTCTGCTCCAGTCCTCCTGGCCCTCAGTAGCTGCATTGTTGAAGAGGAATATGTTTCTGTTTATGCTTTCATTTGAGTGGCATTTCTGTAGTGCAGAGAATGTGAAATAATGTGTTGGTAAAGAAACTGTTGGAGTCTGGTTTGGCAATAACTGTGTATTTTGGCGATGAGAACTAACACATATCTTCTGGGAAAACATATTTCTTACAAGGCAGAGGGAAACATGTTTGATTCCTTGTGATTCCTATTTTGCAGGCCAGCAAGCAGATCTGAATTTTCCTGTCGTGTCTGCCTCCATTTCAAACATGAGGCTTCCAATAGTTGTGCTTGAGCCGGTTTTGGGGGATACACACTCAGTCTGACTCAAGTAACGACATCTTTTGATACACTAACTGGACCACTGAGCGGTGCTGAAACTTGTCTGGTACTTGTCTGTAATAAATATAACTCTTTATGAGTCACTTCCCTCTCCTTTTTGTTTTTGAACCAGCGGGATTTTTGCTCACAACTTGAGCTTTTAGTAAGCATTTTTACAGTTTCTTCTAAAGTGAATTTTGATCTACTTGTAGTAATTAAAAAAAATATATATACTGGCTCAAATAAACCTGAGTTATCAATGATTTCAGTGAGGTAGGATTCCAAGCAGTGTCATCTTGTTTCCTGCTTTGGCGTAGACAAGAGAAGGAGCCCCTGGTAAAAGAAGTGTGCCACTTAAGCAGCTATGGGTGTAGTGTTCAGACACTGTAACAACACCATTATCCTTAGGACAGATTTGTCTGTCATTTTTGCAATCTCTGTTGCCTGCTTCTGTCAGAAAATCATGTGTTTTAACTTCAAAGAGATTTTTTTGTTGGTACTGTTTTTATTTTTGACACGAATACAAATACAGTGGACACATTCTGCTGTACAAGTACACTAATATGTGGGCTTACATCGACAAAACACGTAACATTATAAAAAAGACTGTAAGGAAAATGTACATGCAGACATTTTGCTTTGCTTAGTGGCATTGTATTATTTTCCAGAGGAGAGAGGCATTAGTGGAAAGCCATTGAAAAATAAAAACTGAAACACTGTTTCTGTTTGTTAACCACATTGTGATCTAATAAGGTTCACATTACAAGCAGTCATCGAGGCAGCATGGTTTGGATAGTTTTGTCCATAGCCTCGAATATTCTTTTTAATATATAGAGGTTATTTCCAACTCTTGCCCCCTATAGCAAGAAACATTTTATCTATGTAAAAGACTAATACAGAGGTATAATTAATAATAGAAAGCTTTGGAATATTAAACCTCTAAGCCAAAATATTGTTCTTGGAAAATGGAAAGTGAGGTAGTTTTTATTAGATGCAGATGCAAACACATTTGCACACATGACCTTAGCTGCGTGAACAGGTGAGATCATTCCAGTTTGCTTCCAATAACTATTTCTTGCAGTACTCTGTATGTGTGGACAGATGAAATGCTGTCTTTCTAGAACCAGGGAATATATGAACTGGAGTATATAAATGTTTGAGGCATCTTTGGAATTTGTTGAATAAGTTTCTTCCTCCTTGCTGCCACATTCTGATTAATAGCTTTTGCATACACTGCTTTTTTTAGGTGACAGTATTCTCACATCTTCGTTTTTAATTTAACTACTGCTAGGAGGAGCAAAATTCCAGGCTCCCCTGTCAGCATATTGAAATCTAAGACCTAAACTTGAAACTTCACATTTAAAAATACTGGTGAGATTGTCTGCTTTGCTGCATATTAATTCAAGTTAGTGTACCACACCAACATGACACAACTTAATGTTTAACAATATTAACCGCAGTACACATGGATCATTAGGTTCATTTGTATCAAAAAAGCATTGTGCCATTCTGTTTCAGCAACAGCAGGTGTTTGGCCATGCTGTAGTACTTGGGGTACTGCTTGGAGAGTTGAGGTTATCTGCTAATGTGCGTATCTTAGGAAGTTACAGGCAACCTTAGTATAAAACAAGGGTTCACAGAATGTATTTCATTCCCTCAGATTTGTCTTTCCTAAGTTGCAAAGTGGTAAAAGGTAAAAGTTTTCTAATAACCCCTTGTATTCAGTGCTGAGAACAATGATATTTAAGATACGTTTTTGATGAAGACCTCATTTCAGGGTCCAGAATGCACAGGTCCTCTACTTTTTCTTCCCGTGTACAGAACTGAGAACATGGGCTGAGTGGGAAGATGCTGAAAGTCAATGTGTTTGTCCGAAGGTGGTACGATAGAAAGAGTTGCCTTGTTTGCCATTACAAATTCTTTACCTAATGTTCAGACTTTCCATATAGTCAGAAAAGCTTTTTTGTTGGTTATAAATACAATGATGCTTAGCATTTATGTTATGCTCTTTGTTTTCAAAGTACTTTCCATATAAAATCCCTTTGCTGTGTTTGTCGTTCCTATATGGATATTTATAATTCTTGCTCTGCTAGTGAAGCTGTTTGGCTGTGTCTGAGAGCAGAATTTGACTCCAACTAATTCTCATATTACCTTTATAAGGAAAAGTACTCATCCTGTAGTAAAGCTAAAATAGGAGGGCAGCACAGCAGAAAAGATTGTCTGTGATCGCAGAGGGAACTAACTGGAATCAGGAAAAAAGCACATGACAAAACATTAATTTCCTAGGCCTATGAGTAAACCACAGTTCTACTCTCTCTCTTGTATACTTAAAATAAATAGTTGTCAAAATAAGTAGTGCATTTTATAACAAAACTGTCCTAGACTTAGCCTGGCTGCAACTATGCACCCATTAGTGTTATGAAAAAGAAAAACAATGGGAAGTTAAAAATTATACACATTTTAAAGTACACAAAAAACCCATCAACGCTTCTAAATTTCATATTTTATCTAAAGGAAAAACAGTAAGACAGGATCTGCCCTCTGTAGACGTTGTTGCTGGTAAGAGTGCAGATTAGATGTTGATTTCTTTCACTGAACACTAAGAAAATTAATCACTGCAGATCCCAATTTGCTTTGAACCAGACATAGTTTCTCAAATTTGAAAATCATCATCATCGTGCAGCTTCAGCAGCTCGTCACAGCCTACAAGGTTTCTCTATGACACAGTATAACTCTATGTTCACCTAGAAGACTTGGTTCAGAAGGCTTTTACATTGCTAGTTGGTACCTGAAGCATCAGCTTCAGCCTCATCTGTGTGTCCAGATCGTGAATGGTACGAGCTGATCACAGTGGGTGAATTCACTGTGCAACACGTCTGTGTGATGATGGTAACACTGAAGTGCATTTGAAGGTGTTCCCATTCTTTCGATAAGACAAAGATGAAAAAATATTTGCTGTTTTATAGAGACTTGCGTATTTCCTACTCAACAAACATACTTTATTTACATAAAGTATAGCCCAGAACCAGATGGTTGGGTGAAGAAGGGTGCTCACCCTAGTGACTGGCTGCCAACTAGGCATTGACTATACTGTCAATGCAGTTAGAACCCACTGTTCTCTTGTCACTCTACATGTTTTCATGGTTGCTGCATAAAACCAGCAAAAGTAGCTGTAGTTTACTATGTATTTGTAGAAACCCTAGCACAACTGAGCCTGGTTTGGCTGTGGCCTTAAGGCCCCCATTGTGAAAAAGAGTATTAAACCCCTGCGCTCGTTGGAAGCTTTTTCTCTGTGCTGTGTCATACAAGATCTAGATGAAGATCTTTTTCCTTAATGCAGCCGAATAGTATAAAAATTGCTTACATATTGAAGCTAAAATAAAAGAAAAATAATTAGGTTACAAATTAAGAAACTATAACATTTAATGAAAAAGATGATGTCCGTAAGTGGCACCATTAACACATAACTCATAGTGTGGCATTACACAGATTTAAATCTGAGCATATTAAGTAAAGGATGGAGCCACAAAATATGTCTTCTCACCTACCATTCATCTCCTTAAGCTTGCATGTGAGACAGGGGAAGGATGGAGAAAATGGTTTGTGGTGCTACAAATGCACACAGTAACAAGATCCAGACACATGGTTCCAGAAGACTGATAGTAATATATACAGTGATACATATATAAAGCAGTACAGCTGTCTACACAGTAGTTCTTCCCCTTGTTTCCCTCCCTCCCCCAGCACCAGGTACTGATGAGGAGTGATTGAGAGATATAAATATTGCAGTAATGCACTCTGCACAGGTTTATTTTCAGCAGAAATGTTTGATTTTGTCACGTGGCTCCTTCTTGGCACTGCTGCAGGTTGAAATCCTCTGTTTTGCACTTGACAGATACCTTCTCCTTGAATGTTTTGTGATGCCTCTGTGTTACACTGTGGTCGGTAGTGTTTCATGCATCTTCGGATGCCACTGGATTATTTCCTCCCACAGAATCCATATTCCAATGCCAGGTCAGGAAACAAAGAACTCCATATATGATGGGCTATTTTCTGTGCCTCCGTACCTTGGTCTGTCCTCCTCAACTGCTGGGCCATCTCTAGCACAAGCACAATCCATAGGAAAGCATAATTGATGTGCAGCATTCGAATGGTCCAGAAACTGGAGTGATAATTCTTAATATCAAAAGTAGTACATGATGAACATCTGTAGGACAGTATGGTAGAAAGGAATGATATCCTGTAGGTAGCTACCATTTTGTTTTCATCACTGACAAGAGGCGAGAGCTTCTTCAAATGACAGCTGTCCATTTGGCCTTTGTCCAGTATGCTGCAGCCTTGTGCTTCAGCTTGCTTTTGGTTTTATCACCCATTCTGCCTGAGGATTTGCACGGTAAACATCTAAAATGTATGCATCTGGATCCAAACAGTGCTGACCTGAAACAAAAATTGAAAGCCACAAATCATATCGTGTTTTGAGTGCACTTGGCAAATAGGATAGAGCTATGTTAAAATATCCTTGAGTGCAACTCCAACGTGCAAAAAGTGCTTTTATTTAGAGTACCCAGCTAGTGTCTTGCCTGGCTACAGAGAGCAGCCTGGGTAAATGTGCCAGAGATATTGCTTGATGTGCTTCATAATTCACTTCCACTTCCAGGCAGGATGCTTTGCATTACTGAGTTCTAGATGTGGCATTTAGTCAAATGTTAAACAAATATTACGGTTTCTCTATAACCATTAACAACACTGTTACTGCTACTGGGCTGGAATTAAAACTCTGACTTAGCTTCTGCTCTATTTTTAAATGCTCAAAATGTTGTTCTGCAAACTTTATGTTCTTATCCACATAGGAACTTGCAAGATAAATGCAGTCTACAACAAAGTTTTTGAGTTTCAAAGTCTGGAAGATTGAGGGTTTCAGTAGGTGGAAAATTGTAGGAAAACAGGAATTGTCTTTGCTGCGTTTGCCACAATTTGCTTTTCACACAGAAAGAAGTGTTTGGTGCTTGTTAATTGGATAATAAGGTAATAAACGCTTGAGTTAAGTTGATTTGTTTTGGATTATATTGGATTTATGCTGGGTGATGCAGCCATTTAACTGGTGAGGTTGTACTGCTGTGACACAAAGGATTATGGTAAATTTTTTGTCCAGTTACTTAAAATGTCATTAGGGTCCTAATGATTTATAAAGTAAAAACTTTACAAATGAATTAATGCATGATCAGCTTTATAAGGTACCCTGGAATATCTAGGATTATAAAAATAATTTTAAACTAGCAAATAAATTAAATGTTCAGATTTCTTTTTCTGCAAGAGCATGTAAGGAATACTTGAGATTGCTTCAAAAGGTCTTATGATCCTCTCCTGCATTAACATCTCTTGGCCATCCTTTTTAGTGAGACAAAACAAATCAATAAGCCAGTGAAGCTCTGGATGAGCATATCTTCAATAATAAAGAGTTTGGTTCTTGACTGCTTTTGAATAAGTCTGTAGTATTCTGTAATAATTTTACAGAGATTATTTAGAAACGACAGGTTGTAGATTGGGCAGAGAAGAACCTTATGAGATTCAACAAGGGCAAAAGCAGTGTGCTACACCTGGGGAGGAATAACTGCATGTACCCCTTGCCTGGGGTATTAAGAGTGTGGCCGACAGGTCAAGGGTGATAATCCTCCCTCTCTGCTCTGTCCTGCTGACGCCACATCTGGAGTACTGTGTCCAGTTCTGGGCTGCTTGGTTCAAGAAAGACAAGACAACTTCCAGAAAGAGTCTAGCAGAGGGCCACAGAGATGATTTGGGGGTTGGAGAATCTCCTTCTGAGAAAAGGCTGTGACACCTGGGACTGTTCTATCTGGAAAAGAGTAAGCTGAGGAGGGATCTTATCAATGCTTATAAATACCTAAAGGGAGCTCAGTGAATGGGGCCAAGTTTTTTTACTGTGATGCTCAGTGACAGAACAAGGGGAAAAGGGCACCAATTGGAACACAGGAAGTTTGAACATGAGGAAAATCTTCTTTACTGGGTGGGTGACAAAGTGCTGGAACAGCTGCCCAGAGCGGTTGTGGAATCTCTTTCCCTGGAAGTATTCAAGATCTGCCTGGCCATGTTCCTGTGCAACCTGCTGTAGGGAACTGCTTTAGCAGGGGGTTGGCTGAATGATTTCCAGAGGTCCCTTCCAACCGCTGCAATTCCATGGTTCCGTGATTCTGGGAACCTAGAAGAACTGAGCTTCATCAAACAGCTGATTAAAGACTGAGAGAATCCAGAATTTCAATATGAAAAGAGAAAGGGGAGGGTCAGGACTGTTCAATATAAAATTAAAATCTATTTTTCATCTTTAGGCCAGGAACCCATGTGGCAAGTCACTGTAGTTATTACAGAAACGTCACTGCATACAACACAGAAGAAGAACAACTCACTACTGCAAGGAATTTACAATATAAATAAAGTATACATGTATGAATACAAATATATTAGACCTAGATAGGCAGAGGTTGAATTCTCAATTCTGTGTTTTTATCTGTAAGAAGTTAACACTTAAATGCAATGAGAAAAAAAGGAAAAGACCAGTGAGAGAGGTAAAATGTATTTGTAAGAGGCAGACCAAGAAGCTCTTAACCATGGAAAATGCTCAGTTGTGAGTGCGAGAGAGGTAATTGAAAGGTCAGATGAGATTGGCAGGGCTGCAGCAGCCACGGGGGGTCCTGCTGGGATCTTGCCACCACGTCACCCCATTCCGCGGGGTGCACCCCCTGCCAGCAGGCATTGTTACATAAATTTTATGAGACTTTGGATCAGTTTTCCTGCAGATGGGCAGGAGAGAACCAGCTGTGTGAAAATAGCACTGATCTGGGGTGTTTTAGAAGCCTAAGGACATTCGGAGTCAAATTTTCAAATAGAAGACCTACCTATATTTCCTCCAACTTCATGTAAACTTTGGATTTGGCTTCTCACATTCTGTGACAATCCACGGCTAGGAGAGAAAACAAGTGTTTTTTTTTGTTGTTTGTTTTTGTTTTTTTGTGTGTGTGTTACAGCCTATCAATTGCCACTTATATTAAGCAGAAATTGATATTTTCCCCCTCTTCTCATGAACTTACTTATCTAAAGCAAGGACTTCAATCAAACAGAGAATATATCTGCTGTAGAGGTGTTTTGCCATGCAGGGTTAACTAAGCTTTCTATTACACTATTGTTTATTTACAGAACAGAATTAATGCAATAATGTCAAAAGACTCTGCAAGAAAGACTTCCAAATGCAATCTGCCATTTCCCATAGCAGTTAATAATTATCACTCTCCATAAATAAATAAAACCATGAATGTTTTATGGGCAGATATAAGACGGTTTTGTATTCTTTATGTGGTATGCCTATAAAATGTATGTTTTTGATAGTGTCATAACAGAGGACAGGCTGACTCTGTGTGGGAGCCAATTATTAAGTAGAATATAAAGAAGAAAATCAATAGTTAAAATTTCCTTAACTGACATAACCATAAATTAGCAATTTTGGATTGTAAAAAGAATTATTGTGACACAATGAAACTCTGAGAAGAGGACAACGTATTCATTAATGGTTCTGGCATTATTATTCAGGAAAAACAAAATGTTCTGTTTTACCCACCTGTTTTCACAGTGGAATCGAGCCAGGATGTCTTTGGCTTTTGTTTGGCTGTTGAGTTGAATTGCCATAGAGACTTTTGAATGCAGTGGTGCATAAACTCTTATCACCCCCTCAGGTATGTCAGACTGCAGGTATGGAGGAAAAGTGACAGCACCCTAAAGTCAACATTCAGTAGAATAAGTTTGAGGCACATATTCTAACTCCATTCAGAAGCAGTTCTGCAACTCTTTAGATACTGCTTGCAAAAATCACTGGTAGGGATTCACTCAATTATTTAAAAAAATACATTTACAAACATAGACTGGTACATTTACTGGTACAATATAGTAAGATACAACAGAAAGACAAAAATTACTTAGTAAGCATCACTTAATCCCTTTAATTTTAGTTATTTGCAATAGTAGTTTGAGTCAAGTCGTTATCTGAGATTTTTCAAAGTTGTTCTGTTAACACTGGCAGTGGGCTAACAGCTTAATAAAAAATGCATAAAAATGTATTTAGGAATGCCTGCACTTCCATTTGAAGATGGAATTCTCTTAGGCATGAAAAAAACCACAGTTGTTCCCACATTCTAGAACTTCAGCTAGATCAAAGTTTATGTACAGTAAAATATTGAAGTAGCATATGGTTTCTGTTAATTTGCAATTTGACCTTGTGTAGGGTTCAAACAATCATCTATGAAGTTTATGCACTCTTCTATGATTAATGGCAGATAAATCAATTAGCAAGGTTTGCATTCCAGCCCTAATCCAGTTAATACCAAGCTGAGCAGAACACAATTGTCTCTCCAGTCTCTGTAATTTAGGACATCTGAGACCCAGGGTTTGTGTTAAGTGCTCTCAAAATTCAACTCAGTTATGCAAACAGAGTTTGCCTCCAATTTACCTTTCATAATTCAGCTACCTGACATGGTTAGTTTCCTTTTTATTAGATGCAAAGTCAATTACTGTGATCAATAGACTTAAGTTTCTGAAGGTTCAGAGCTGCAGTAATGGGTGTTCCTTAGAAGCTCTCACTGTTCTTGCTGAAAACTGAGGACAGTTTTTGACACAGAGCAGCGTATACCAACATTTTAAACAAATACCTACATCTGCATCTGTGTCATAAATATATGTCCTTCCCAAAGTACATTTCAGTCAGTGCTGGTTCTTCAAAAAGTTGATTTAGCATGGATTCACCATTCATAACATATCCTTTCTCTTTCCATTTTACCCAGACATTTTCTTCTGCAGTTTTATCTTTTGTCTGTGTTAGGTTTCTTCTCTATTTCTTGCCATTTCTCAATACCACTACTTCCTACTCTGTTTTTTCTTATTTTTCTTCCACCCTATTTTTCAATATCTATAGGCACCTCTACCAGTTCCTTGATTACTCTTCTAATTCACCAATCTCCATTCTTTCAAATGACCATGAAAAGACATAAAGGTTTTCTGTGTGCACAAGTTGCTGTGTTGCCTGATTTGTATGTTACATCTAACCTGTATGTTCATCTCAGGTCCTGTCTATTAAGCAACATTCATGAAATTAAACATTTAAACAATTAATTAAATTAAACATTTAAACAATTAAAAAAAATAAAATATGTAGTCAATGGAGAAAAGCTGGTGGCTTTAAGACCTCCAGAAGATCTTTGTATCAGACTACCTAAGCCTGAGCTGGATTTAGAGCTCTGGAAATCCTCCACTGTGTCCCCCTCTCACCACTGACTGTGGTGAGCACCAACAAAGACCTGAGGCCAACTACTTTGTTAGATGCTGAAAATTTAGACCCAGTTTTGGTGCCTCTGTTAGGCAAACTATTCTCTTTCTGCTTAGGAAGTTAGCACAGAACTATAAAACCAAAATTTGCAAGGAGAAAATTATTAAGTTTCAGGACTGAGGCATGGGTAAGTGTATCTACTCCTAATATGGACCATCCTTCTACCCAGCTGCAGATCCATGTACTTTTAGAATACCTGCAGATTACTGCCATAAAGGACAGTCCATGTATCATCTTCTTATAAAACAGGTATAAAAACAACATGCGTGTGTTACAGTTTATAGCTTGAGCTCCTATAAATCCTTCTGCCAGCATCACTTTTTCTGTCAGTCCCCCATGCTTTGTCTTATCAAAATATTAGACTAAGAAGCATGTCTTTCAAGACAGCTCCCAAACAAGTTTATTTTCTATAGGAAAATACACAAGCTGCTGTCTGACTGGAGAGTTAAGGGATTTTCTGTTATGAAGATTTATATTAAACCCACTGTTCTAACACATTCACTCATACTACTTTTCCCTACTAAAATGTATTTGATTTAATTACAGTTGAAGAATTTATCTACATCAACCATAATTACTTGAGAGCAAGTTCCTTGCTGTATGAGGGACTGCACAAGTAAATCATGTTGACAGTCACTGCTGTGAGGAAGAGAGCCTTTATGGTAAATGAGATACAATAAACAAACTTAGGTCAACCACTTAAAAAGGGTTAGAGGATGGCTTGTATGGCAGACTGAGCAGAGTTAAGGAGAAAAGCAGAATGAAGGTCTGACATTGGTCTAACTAATTGTAGGTGAGGGCACTTAAAATAGAAATAAAATTTGAGGAAATATTTAAAGAAGCAATAGCTTTATACACCTCTATAGGAATTTCCTCCCCACTTTCCAGATGCTTTTATGAGATAAGAGGGGAGGAACATTAATTAAGGCTGCCACTTGAAGATGTTATAATTTTATCACACCTCTGGTCTTTCAGGTCTCTCTCTCTCCATGGTCTTTCTCCTTAGAAGTTTTCTCACTCCTTTGTCAAACATCAGCTGCCTCTTGCTGTTGTTTATTGCTGCCTCATTCATTTTCCTCACCTGGGAAATCAGGAAGGATGGAACCTAAAGGGAGAAAACCAAAGCTGACAATAGGCAGTAGACTCCTCCCCCTCCTAAAACTGGTGTTTGGTTTTTATAAGGTTGCCCATTGAAATGCATCAGAAGCTCTGTTCCCAGAAAAATACATAGGATTAGCAGCTCTCTCTAACAATCCACCTTCAGAGAAACTAGTTATCTTTCATATCATATCAATTTTTTATCTCTATATCTGCCGTTGGAGGAACTTTATTAATTGGCTGTTTTTGTAATCCCCAAAGATTCTGGCATGCAGAAAAGAGTTGAGTGTGTCAACTTTCAGAAGACAGCAAATGGTATGTACTTTCGGCCCATGTTATTATGGACTAGACTTTAAGAAGTTCTTCTAAGTCTCGTTTCTTTCAAGTCTTACCTAGGCATCTAGATGAGATCTTACTCCTACATATTTTCCTATAGAATCATTGAATTACTCAGGTTGGAAAAGACCTTAAAGATCATAAAGTCCAACCGAATATATACATATATTTATAAATATAAACATTGGTGTTGGTTAAGTACCTCTTGAGGGTAATTTATGATAAAGAGCATGTCTTAGGCAAAGTGAATCTTCCAGAGGCATCTGCCACTTTGTTTCATTCCAAGTATGTGAGACTTCAGCTAGTTTGTAAAGAACAGCTAAATTTCTTCTAGGAAGGCCAGTTCACTCTGATTTCTACACATGTAGATGTGTAGCAAAATCCTTTCCCACACTGGAGCCATAAAGAGGGAGCCAGCATTACAGTATTACTTACTGTCCACAGGATATCCTGGTACCGAATTAAAAGCCGCACAATGTGTGCAGTGGTGGCAGCTGCTTGCATTTCTTGTTGGTTTGCACGTTTCCCTTTGTAGATGAAGAGGTTTGGTGCAACAATCATAGAAACATTCCACAGATTCATTTTATTTTTTCCTTCATTAGCAACCACCTTCTTCAGGAACTGAAGGAAAGCCTGGAAAAATAGCAGTTATTATGCTCAGTCTCACAAAATATTTAACCTAATTGCAGCATTTTCAAACACATGACAAAGCTACCATGCTTGCACTTGGAGGTAAAATTCAGGAGATTTTACATTACAATTTGAATTACTGTGATATTTGCTGGCACAGCCACCCATCAATCACAGAGATATAGTTCATTAAAATACACTACAATAAATTCTGTACCACTTAGGGCATGATATCAAAACCAATGAAAGTCAAGTAGAGTGTCTGCAGTAAGGCTCGGAACTCTGTAATAGAGGAAAGATATAGCATTGTTGCAAGGAAATAGCTAACTCCTTCACAGATTTCAAAGTGTCATTTTTGAAGTATCTGGTCAAGGCTCTTAGGTTTCAATCATCAGGGTGATGGGCCTCTCCTCATACATACACCAGTGCCATACGTGATGTAATCTGAGGTATTTCTGCCAGCAATCCTCAGACTTTTGTTCTGGGATAATGAAATAAAGAAATGCTTAGTGGTTGATCTTTAATGTCACTTTTACCCACGCATGACAGAATAAAAGGAAATGTTTCACTTCTGGGCAATTTATTCAGAATTTTACATGACTGAGTAAATAGGATGGATTGCATCTGTGGTTAGAATTGGGGTCTGCCAATGAGTCCTTTTGAAACACCATTAAAACCATCATCTTTGTACCCCAATGTTTCAACTGAAACATTTTTACAAACTAAATAACGACAAAACAGAAAATATGCTGGAGAAATTTCTAAATTATCATTTGTTTTGCAGATGATATATAACTGTGATTATCATAGTTTGCAAGAAGAAACACTACTTCATTTCTATAATCATTTCTATTTTTGCTTAAAAGTCTAGTAATAATTAAAGCTAATCTCTTAGCATGTTTTATATATACTTCTCCATACCAGCATGAACTTTGGTATAAGAAATAATCCTCATTGTTCACAGTGGACTTAAAAGACCTTCAAGCACTTTAAATTGAGTTATTATTCATGTCCTATATGCATTCATTACTACTGATAAAGAAGGTACCTAGTTTCATAAATCTATATCCAAACTGGCCAATGAGAGATCTTCTGGAACTGGGGACCTCCAGAATCTTGATGAGCAGAAGACCTGAGGGAACATCCGTGGTTCCCAAGCTTTTGTTTCTACTTTTTTTTAAAGTGGAAACAAATACAAAGATCCAACCAGAATCTCTTGGGGTCAGGACACAGCCTCCAAGTAGATCTGGGAGCTGCAAAGAACCCAAAATGCTTGTAGCCTCTGTGATTGTAAGTGTGACTGGTAAATGGATGTGGGTACTGTGAAGCAAAACAGCTGAGGCTGAGTCCCTGATATCCATGCTGTAGATATACATTTCAGGGAGTTTTCTTTGGACTAACTCCTCCAGTCTAGTTCAATGGACAGGAAGTCTATCAGCCCTTGGTGTGCCCTAGACGAGTTCCTGGGGGGCAGCTTCTCTTTCAGTTTCAGCCCAGAGAATTCCAGCTGTACAAAAACCTCAGAAACTGAACTTCCTTCCTCCTAACTATCCAAGTAACACTTCTTTTGAAAGGCTTCAGAATAAATGGTACCTGGGAGCTAACACAAGGAATTAGATACTTTCAGAAACTGTTTCTAATGTCTTGTAAAGGAAATTCCAGCCAGGGAATAGGAACAGCTCTTCAAAGAAATTATAAGAAACACAGATGAGAGCTTTCACAGAGCAACATCTGAACACCGACTGTTATGAAAAAAAAGTGTCTCTCATTTAAAAGTCATAGACACCACAGATGGCAGGTGATAGCAAACAACAGACTCACCTTAGCTGTGTCCCTGTTGGCTTCAGGCAGAAGCATGATCAACAGATGCAAAGCTTGAAGCTGTAACTTGATCTTGGGGATTTCTAAGAACATGAATAATTAATATTTTTGAAATCTCATTTACAATCACTTTGTTGTAAAAGCCTAGTTGGCCAGACATTCTAGATACACAACAGCCACTGGCCAGTTCAGACTAACATGTTTAGCTAGTAATTAGAAATGATTTCTTTCTAAAATGTAAAATCAGCACAGTGTTCTTTTTCTCTTCATCATCTTGGATCTTTGACAGACAGGGAGACAAAGACTATATAAAACTCTTTCTAAATAAAAAATAGCCAATATTTTTCAGTGTTAGCCAGTTTCTCTCTGACATCCTAGTCAAAATGTGTTGTACATGGATGAAACTCTTCCTCCTTTCAAGCGAAAATAGATATTTATTTTAAGAATTTTTTTCATACTTATATTTTTAATTGAATGCTTGTTACAAAATACTATCATATTTTCAAAAGTTGGTATATATTCATCCAGTGCAGTGGCCACTAGAGCTGGGGTGAAGAGGATGGAAAGGATGCATACTAAATCTATCCTTCACTTCTATTCTAGGTGGATGAGTGAGGCTGTGGGAAAAATAAAGGTGTTGTGTTGATATTGTCAGAGGGAATACAGTAACTCTATTTTGCTCAGATACCTCCTGTTCAGTCTTCTCCACATTACAAAATGCTCTTCACTGCATGCACTCTGGGACTCATAAGAAGCCTACTCAGGTATGTGAAGGTTGCAGCAAGGGATCATCACCTCTCTGTGACCTTTAAAACTACCTCAGTGGAGACAAAGAAAATTTGCTGCAATCTTATATAAAAGTTCAGAATTTTCTATATTAATTTGCCTAATATATTCAGTGATTGATACTCTCATTCTGTCCTTGCTCAAGTTAATTTACAATATAGTGAATAGGTATTGCAAGGTACTACTGCTTTCTTCCTGGAAGAGAAATGAACAAAAATGTGCCGTAAATGTCACAGGGTGCATTTTCAGGGTGTGTATGCAGAAAACAAAATGAGGTTGCCTGAGGCCATCTGTTATCACACTCATCTTGTATGAATATTCTGACCTCAGCATAAACTTCAAGAAGAGTAAAATAGAGGTAATAGTATATTAAACAAATGGAAGTGACTTGATCTTACCTTGCAGAAAATTTCATTTGCAAAATCTGTATTTTGTGTCAATTAGATTGCATATAAAAGACATTGCTCAATCACTGTTTGCTCACAGGTTTCAAATCTCATGTTAAACAGTTGTGTCACTCACATAGTGCTATAGGTATCAATATCTGCAGATTTTTTTCTCTTTAAAAAGGAAACCTTGCAAATTAAATGCTTAGGTGAGGCAGTGGGATTTTTGTCTTTCTACTTCAGTTTATATGAGCTCCTTTTTTTTTACCTACTTTCCACTAAGGTGATGAAAGCAGGGAGATATTCCACTGTGAATAGTGGACTTGGGAGTTCTCTTATAAACATTTTAAGCAGTCCTGCTGCATCATTGTTTCGTACTTGATCCCAGTCAAATGTGTCTTCATAAAATTTTGTCTCAAGTTCTTGATGGAGATTCTGAAAGATAAAAGGAACATCTGATTCTCAGATATTGCTTCTGGCCTGGTAGTTTTAAATCACTTCAGAAAATCTTTTACAAACCACAGACATATTTACACAACAGTTGAATTAAAATAGCTCTAAACCAGTTGTGATTTAGGTACAGCCATGTGGAGTTCAGAGATGGTTAACAAGTGAGACTCCTCGAAACACTTTGAAATGCAGGTTAAATTTTCTTTCCCATAGCTAGATTTCCACCAGTGACACATTTGAACTACTTTAAAGCAAGACAACTTTGTGCATTGTTTAGTGGGATTTTTAGCACAATATTTCTTTTTATTTAAAGCACTCCTCCAGAGGTTTTGGCCTTTAAATCACAAAGGATTTGCATGTTTGTCTTCACCGCCAGTGAAACTGCTAGACAACCTGTTGGCACTTCAGCCAAGGGGCTTTGAGTGAATGGTTTGAAATTCATGTTTTCTTGTCTTCAGAAGGATGCTCTGTCTTAGGGTAGCCACAATTAATTTTGATCACTATGTAGTGATCTCCTTACTTTCAGAAAGCCTGCACTTGATGCATGCCAAAAAAAAAAAAAAAACCACAACAAAAACCAACCCTCAAAAACATAAGAGAAAGCTCAGATAGATAGATAAAATTGATTGTATTTTTTTGGGTGCCCAGTTACTCCTGTTGTCCATTTTGCTCTATAACAAAGCTCTGGAGAATTGATGTTTCACATGTGTATGAGTGGGAAATATTTGATAAGGTTGCTAGAAGAAGCAGAATTTGGCTTCTGATACAGATCGCTGTTTGGAAAATGAAAGCTCCATAAAAAAAAATTGCTGGCTAAGAAAGAATGAAGTATTTTTTTCTAATGTAAAGCTAACCATGAATAATACAACTTTCACAATTATTACTGGCCAAACACTGCCTTATCCATAGGAAGTCTGTTAATGTTAATGTGAGACAATTTTTGACAAAATGTCTCTATTGCTGATATTCAGGTTTCAGGTCACGTTTTTGTCAAATGTACGTTACTACTATGCCAAAAAAAAAATAATAATAATAATAAAATAATAATAAAAAAATCCAATTGGACAGAAAAGCTTTGAAAAATGAATTATCGTTACCATGCCTCACATGAATAGAAGGAAATTACATATCAAATATGATCAATGAAGTGAAATGGCTGGCAGAAACAGAAATAGAGGTTCATTCAGGATTTGGTATATAATGTTACAATCTCACTTTTGCTAGCACATTTTACAGGTTAAAATCTAAGCTATCTCAGCTTCCTCCATTCACATCCTTTGCACATGATCTACACAAACACCTGAATTAACTTTTCTTTTGGTAACTTACTGGGAAATGTGGAATAGAACTCTTTACCTCATCAAAATCACAGGACAGGAGAACTACTAAACATTTTTTCTTCTGAGGAAGAGGTAAAAGTTAAAAGCAAGATTTTTGAAACACAAACATGTATGTGTACATATATATCTACACGGGTACTTATGTATAGATATATTTATACACACACATATCTAAGTGCTTTTAAAAAAACTTTTTGGCCACTTTTTTACTATGGCTGATAGAACGGTAGATTATTGTTCACTGGAGCTTTCATTACAAATTAGATTAGAGACAGAGGAAAAATTGTATTTATTTCTTCTATCCTTTGTTTTATAGAAGAGTAACCTTAAATCACTTCCATATGCCTTCTCTTTCTCAAAACAAGACTGAAATAAAACTGGAATGCCCTCAAATCCTAATGTCATAATAACGTATGAAGGCTTTGAAGAATGAAATCTGGATATCTGGATCTAATTTGAAGAAAATTTTCTCTTGCTGGTTGGGTTGCTGGACAGACTTAAGTGAAGACAAAACTCAAATAATTTAAAATGTTTAGGTGGACATTCAATACAAGAAAGATATAGTTAAAATCATACGTCAGAGAGTCTCCTTCGGTAAAGGAGTGAATAAAAAGTGAACAAGACAAAAAACAATCTATGCAGAAAAATAAGAAAGTCATTAATTAAGTAGGGCAGAGCTCTGCTGTGCAATCTCCCCAAAGATGTCAGAGAAATTTAATATTATGTGAAATAATACTTTAAGGTTTTTTTGTGAAAAAAAAAAGGAATCCAAAAAATGCAGAGTGAATTAGGAGCTCTCTTCTTTTATAAATCTACAGTGTGAAAGGGAGTTGGGATGATGCTGTCTTTGGTGCTTTCCACATGCTTCTTGATCTCTAGCCCATTGACTTTTAGTAATCTCTAATCTTATTAGTTGTGTTTTTACTACCATTTTGAGATTTTGAGCCTTCCTGCTACGTTCAGAAAGCAAGACTAGTTATCTTGAAGATGAGAAAGTGAAAATGGGAAGTTATCATTATAAATTCCTAGAATCGTATTAAAAAAAAAAAAAAAAAAAAAAAAAAAAAAAAAAAAAGCAAAACCATGCAAGAAAACACCATCAAGCCAAAGAAAAAAAGAAAATGGAAAAAAGGTAGGTAGACACTACTTCTAAATACCTAAAAATAAAAAACAAATTAATTTCCTAACTTAATTTCCTATCTCTCCTCTGGCACAGGCTTCCAGCTCCTAGGATGTAGTCAATAGAAACATTTCCAAGTGTTACTGTACTGCAATGGCAGAGCCAAAGTTATTGGGCACAAGATAGCCTGTGTTCATAGCCCGTAAATAGCCTGTGAAAATACAGCATTCTAGGCTGCCAAACAATGATCACAGGCCAAATTTCTCTCACTTGGAAGCTGAAATTTTAAGATCACAGAAGTCAAATGAGAAATAAAATGGCAAAAAAAATTGTTAAAGTAACATAGAATAAGTTCTTTATCTTAAGTTAGCTCAGTTGGCAACTCTGTATTTCTGAAATAAATTAAGAAGGAGATAAGATCACAGCAATTTTGGATGACAGAGATAAACTGAAAAGATCACTCAGTGTTCAGCTCAATTCAGAATCACAACTGTGCTTTATATAGAACATTACCAAATGCAAAGCAATAGACCACATGCTCTGTGATTTATTGGTTCCCAGGAACCAATTTAACCTTTCGCTGATAGAGCTGGAAATGTTGATCTACACACATCACTATTTCTGTGCAGTGTGCATTTGTGTGTGCTCTGTTATTTGACATTGAAGCTGTGTTCCATGAGACAGGAAACTGGCACAGACATCTACCTTAACCCTGGAGGCAGATCCAGGCACTCGAAGAATTCCTTCAGTTTCTAAACCAGTTTCCTCAAGCTTGAGCAGCAACTGAAAAAGAGGCAAATCCAAGAAAATACTCAGAAGTATTTAAAAATGCCATTAACTATTTTTAATATAAGTCTACTTGAAACAAACCCGAAAAAAAAGACAACAAGCCTTTCAACATAATCTGCTAATGAAAACAAGCTTAGGAAAATAAGCCTTCAAAATTCAATCTCTGTATTCCTGACTCTGAAATCTGAGGTATAGAGAGTACTGAAAACTGATAATACAATAGACATCTCTGTCCTTGATGTGACACTTGACACTGCTATAGAACAAGTAACATATAAATGCATATGCTCTTTTATTAATACATTTATATACTATATATTAGGTTACACTGGGTAAAACTCAGTGGTGTTTTAAGGAAAACTTAATCTCTGAGAAATTCTTAAGTTTCTCCCTTGGAATGGATTATAGATAACGTGTTTCTGTGACCTAAGAACTCAAATTAGAAAGTGGTCGCAGGATATTTTTATTTTGAAATTTCTGTGAATATAGAAATATGCTTTGCACTCTAACTTGTTATTAAAAAATAATGTTTTGGTTGGACAAGATTTAGAATAAACAACAACCAAAAATAATATATTAGCATTTATTCACATAACTCTGGATTTTCAGTACCAGCTGTACTATCTTTCAGTTTTCAATACTGTTGACAGAGGAGCCAAGCACTGCAAAGTCATGTAAAAATTCAAGTTCTGTCAGTCTTTCCATGCCACTTCCTCTTTTCTCAGTATTAACAGCAACTATTTTTGGAGTTTCAAGTCCTTGTTACTGTATGTGTGCTTGTGTCTGTGTATACACCTCCAAGACATCTGCTGGATGTTACTGCTCTGTCAAAAGACCTATAGAAATTACATTGCCTCAAAGGAGAAAATACCACAATCGCATCCAATCTAGAAATAACAGTTAATGACATCTTCAGTTTAAATTCACATGAAATTAAAACTCTTGAGAGAACTCATTTCTGCTGCTTTTGCACACACACACACAATTTTGCATGCCTGTTTCATTTAATAAGAAAGAGAAACAGTAAGCCTGATATTTGCTTTCCAAGGTTTCCTTTATGGTACCGTATAATTACAAAAATGGAAGGAGGTTCCCACTATAGATAAAACACACAAAAAAGCAGAAATCTGTAGAAAACACATGCAGAAATCTATAGAAAACACCCTGAAAACTGTAAAGCTTGCATCTTTTCTTATCTGATCTGTGTTCTGGGTACCAACGTGAATGATGGAAATGACTTAATGACTGAGCAAACTGTATTATACTCACTTTTTGGAAGATGAGAGGAACTTTTATACCAGGAACCTTCTTTTGATCATTCTCCAGCAGCACTGTGAGGGGGACTCCAAAAAGACCATTTTCTTAAAAATAACAACAACACATGAGAAAATGAGCAAACACAGCCTTATATGTGTCTTCTTATCAATGCTGAGCAGTGCCCAGGTGGCCACTATGCAGATGCCACGGTACAGTACCTCGTCTCCGCACCCTCTCCGCACGGTTCCTCTTCAGCTCCACACCCAGGGCATCATAGAAGGCTGTTAGCTCAATCAGGGAGAGGTAGCGGATCTTCTTCATGTCTTCAGGAGAGAGATCTCCAACCTCTGTTAGTCCAAATCGGCTTTTCCGAACAATGAATTTCTACAGTAGAGATGAATTGTATCTTAATTTGCACTAGAATTACGTGCAACTTTTTGTTTTGAAAGAGATGCCCATATTTCAGAAGTCAGTTAATAACAGAGCTGAACTGCAACTCCGTATTTTAGCCTGATAGGTTGAAATAGCTTGCATCCATCTGAATTGTAATCAACCTTCTTGTTTATCACGTTCCCTTATAGTTCAGCTGGTATCACAGGGGCAGAGGTCTTAACTTCAGTGCCCTGCCTGTACTCCAGTCTTGAAGAACGAGCTACGTGCTAACTAAATTTCTGTCCAGTTTCAGCAGAATATAACATTGCTTTGCTTCCTCCTCTCTCACACTGTCTTTGAACTCTGCTGAGAGTGCTGATACATTTCATCATGGATATGGTTCTATATCCAGCGGTGATGGGGATGGATGAATACATTTATGCTCCGCGTGTTTCTATTAATTTATGAGTTTTTTTAAAGGTTCAGTTCAGGCTAAAGATCTGAAGAAAAACCCAGAAGTAAAACCACTTAGTTCTTATGCCATCATGCCTCTTTTCTGGTAGCTTTTAGTACTCAAAAAATTGTTTTGGCATAGAAATAGGATTCCCATCAGCTAAGAAATAATTCATTTGAATAGGCTTAAACTAAAAGATACTTAGTAATACTGGGGTACGTGAAGATGTCTACATATTTTAGAAAATGAATTGTCATGAACTAGAGCCAGAAGCATTGCATCATGCCATAAGCATTTGTACAAATGTCAGAAAGAAAAAGCACTCATGAGTTTTTGACTTGATTGCTAGAAATAGTAACAAAATACAATATAAAGCATGCATTTCAAAGCATTGAGGATCTGTGGTATTGTATGAGGGTTTTTGTTTTTTGTTTTTTTTTTACTTTAGTTGTAATTCAAACAAGAAGTTATTAGTCAGAAATACAAATAAATAGCATTACAAATCATCTTCTTTCTTTAGGGGACTGAGTAGAAACCCAACTTTTAAGAGGGTTTTGCTCCTGGAGATTTCATTCCAGTCCCCTCATTTTTGAACAAATTTGGACTTAATGTATCTTTAGATGAAGCTAATCAAACATATTAAGAAAAAGGCAAGAAAAAAACATTCCATTAGATTTCAAAAGTAAGAGAAGACAAAGGACACATAATTCACATAGATTTAGGCTTTCTAAACTGCATTGCACATGGCTTTTCAGCTGGGGGAGAAAAAGTGCAGGGAATGGAATAATGTATTTGCAGGATTTCTGAGGCATTTTAGGTCAGAATACTCCCTCCCCAGGATGCAATAATTCCATTGTTATTCTTATGCTGAGACTTAATAAAGCAACAAAATTTATGTGGAAGATGTAGAAGCGTAAGTATTTTTACTCCTTTTTAGCTCCATTGATGCAAAGCATTCCAAACTAGTCAAAGAATAGTAAATCATCTTGGGGAAAAAAAATTACACAGTACATGTTTTCCAAGGGGAAGGAAAATAAAACATAGGGAATAACAAAATCTGTTTGCAAATATGCCTGTCAAGAGGAAAAGATAAACTCTCCACAACCAATTACAAAAGGGAGCTGCAATAATTTTTCATATTGACTTCTAGTGTCATAATGATGTGATGCAGTACAGATCAAAGGTTTGGGACTCTGCCTCTTTGTTGTGTCTTCTGTCATATTTTTCCAGTGATATTTCATACAAATAATGGAGTCATACTATGCATCATAGAAAATTACAGTAGAAAATTAAATAACTACCATTTTGACTAAGGATCATGTCTGAAATGGTTTGACATGTTGTCTCTGTGTAGAAACTATACAGTGTACTTAGATGTGTATGAATTGCTTACTGAATTTTTGTTCTATGATATCTTTGACTATGTCACATTAATTATGGTTCTTTGTTCAGGAAATAACATGTAACCCAATGCAGAAAATGATGTTGAGCTTGATTTTTTGGAAGCTGCAGAAGACATGCTGATTTGTGACACAGAATAAGCAAGAGGCAATTTCATGCAAGGATATTTTACAGTCTGGGCAACTATGGGGAAAAAAAAAAACAAATACCATCAACCAAGAAAAATGCCAACACCAACAGATATGATTACTGACTTCATTTAGAAAGTCTCTGTCTCTGATGAGCTGGCATATTTCTTGTGTACTCTTCTAAGTAATCATAATGTTGTCCTACATGCAGAATAGTTCACCTCAAGCATAATACTGGCCTTTTAAAACTTAGCAATGATGCATCCACAAGTCCAAAATATTCAATGCAACACCTCTTACCTGTTAGTCACCAGTTTCTCTGCTATGTCTACTAGAAAGTTAGCATCAGAGTGGTTGCAGAGAACAGTTCTTGTGTGTATGTGTGTGTGTGTAGTGAAGGTGGGAGTCTTATGTTTGCTATTACAAGGACCAAAGAGGAACTTAACTTTTGGTTTTTGAGAATTACCATGAATGTAGAGATAACCTTATTCTTCAATGGATGCCAAATTATTTCCAACACAAGAAAAAGAGACACAATAAAGCAAATGGATTTCACACTAGTTGCAGCCTCTTTGGTTTCCTATCTCTCCTTTCAACAAGGAAGTTTACTTCTGCATTTCTGTTTCTTCCTTGGTGGTGCCTGAGATGGATACACTGATAATTCTCAGAGAATTCAGTGCCTGTGTGGATAGCAACATTTAAGAACCTCAGGAAAACATGATGTTCAGGAGATGTTTCCAAATAATCTACAGCTATTTCACACATTTCACCAAAAAGGTGGTATCTCGAGCATGAATTCAAATCTCAGGAAGCTCTAAGGACAGATGGAAATAAGAAATTATCTATTAAATTCAAGGGATAATTCCGGAAAATGGCATGCCTGCTTACGTAGGTCTTGTTGGATGATACAACATGGTAAACTTCATTTCATTCATGTGTTATCTCCTATAGTGGAATTGCACTGAATACTGATAGGAGGCAATCAGTACTGATACAGGACTAAGCCTTGCTTTTCCCCCCTTTATCTGTGAAGCAATTTTAAATCCATGTGTCAATAAAAGCAGATAATCAGTGGGGGAAAAAATAGGAGAGCTGATCAGTAATGAAAATGATTGCTAGTATTAGTGCCAGTAACTGGCCTTCATTTTTGATGTGCAGGTGATGCATTATTTGTGGATTCAGTTATCCATGTTCATCTGTGATAGGTACAACTGAAAATGAGGCCTGAATATCCTGTTTACCTTTGTGCCCATCTGGGTACGAGCTGTATGGCAGAATGGCTGGAGCTCTATATAAAGCACACAGAGCAAAGTACAGCTAATGTGTTTTAACACTCTCCAAGGTGCCGAGGATATAAAGCAGGAAATTAGCAGGCAAAAAATACAAAACAACAACAGCAACAACAACAAAAATGCAACAAAAACAATTGAGGAAATACATAGAAAACGAACTTACTGGCAAAACAGAGTCTTCCTTTTTGAACCTCTGGCTCTTTGTCCACTCTCGGGTTTTTGGAAGGACTGTAATGGATTCTGAGAAAGAGACCTCATAGGAGAGCTCTTCTGTTATAGACGAACTGCCTTTATCTAGTCCACAGTCTAGACAGCTATTAGCTGAAAATAAGGGAAACCACATATGAATCCTGAACGTATGCTTGCATTCAGGACAGAGACATTAAAAAATTGAACCATGATGACAGAAGTCTTAAGAAAATAATAAAGGAAGTGCTTCAAAGAGGAATTTCAGTGTAAAACACAGTATGTTCCTGTTTTGTCTGGAGGAAATAACCCCTTAGAAGTAAAATCCCTATTTTCATGTTAGATTATTTTACTTGTTGCTTTTCGTGAGAAAGATAGTCAAGTTGTAACTTCCTGTTTATCAGGAATTACCAAGTTTTTGTACCCTATCCCTTTCTATCTAGGCCAGCAAACTCTGCTGGCACTTGTGTAATGAACAATTAAATCCAAAAGTTCCTGACAGAAAAAAAAGCTGTCTACACAGATTTTCAGGTCACTGTTGATGTATTTACAATCAGTGACATTGTGCATATATTTTACATGGTCACTTACATACATGCACAAATTTCTTACAGTTGCTCTTTCAGGTGCGTAGCATCAAAGCAGGACCCACTGCACAATCTTCTTACTATTTGAAAAATACTATTTCTACTTACTGCTCTACTTTAAACTTCAATTGATTCTTGAAATTAGTAGATGCCAAAGGAAAATTTCTGAAATCAGTACAGACAAGTCCAGAAATATCCTATTGTCATGGAATCCAAAGTATGGTAACAGGCTTGAGTTCCAGTGTTGTCAACTTTTATGACTCATCTCTCACATTTCAGGGCAATTTAACATTTTTTTATTAACGTCCAACTCCTGGACTTGCACAATTGGTACAGCATAATGGTTTTCATTAAAAGAGAGATCAAATTTCAGCCCCCAGGACTGCAGAGAAGATTTTACTAATGTGACACAACTGCATTCAAAAGCTGTGGAAATCAGAAGTTGAACTCAAAAGCATTACACATTTTATAAACTTGTTCATGCCCCATGATTTTTGAATAATTGGATTTACAGATGAAGGTACTTAATCACCTTCTTAACACATTTTGTTGTGGAAAACTTTGTTTGGAAACTCTGGTATGAAAAAGTGAAGTACATTATTAGATGGCTTCTGATCTGTGGTCATAGATGTTACTCAATGGACAAGGGATTTTAAGAAGCATTTCCAGACCACAGACCCTCTCTCTCCTATAGCCCTGGGTGTTTTTTCCCCTGTCTGTTTTAATATAACTACTTGCAGGGCAGAGGTACCAGCAGAACAGTGAAATGATCAGGCTGTGCAATCAAGATAAATGTCTGTGGCACTATATAAAAAGGTGAATATCTAAGGAACTATTTTAGAAGCCCTGTATATATAAATATATATATATATATACACACACACATAAAATTTAATATAATTATACTAGTAATAAATTAATACTTTTAATTATCCTTTAGTTAAGCCCTGAAAAATGATGATGGAAAGCACATCCAAAACAAAAGATGGACACTGCCTTGGAAGGCCACTGACAGCTAATTGAAAAAAACAAGTAAAACAGAGCTATCATGTCCACTAGTGCTGTCAATAACTGTTAGGGCAAAGTTTAAGGGATGTCCAAACTGACACTATCAGTAAAATAGAATAATAGGGGAGAGCCAGAAAAATGGTAATTTCTAACGTTACAATATCTGCAGTACTGGAGAAGAAATATGGAGAATACATGCATCTTATTATGATTCTTAGCAAGAAAATATACTGTTGACATATTTTGGGCAAATTCTGCACCATATTGTTTGAAGGTTACATTCACAATCCCAGCCTTGCAATGACCAGTACATTTTAGGTATTGACACCTCATAGGCAGCAGTCTGTGTCTTTACAACACCAGTCTTGAATGGAAAACTTTGGTTCCTACATGACAATAAGCCGAAAATGTTCTAAGAAAATATATGCAGCAAAACCCTAACATGAAGGAGGGGTCTAAGCTCAGAACCAGAAAAGGATCTCTCTGTCTATCATTTTTCTAGGAGGAAGTGAACACTGATTACACGTTGGCATACTCACAGCTAACTGATTTCCAAACTGGCTTCTGCCCAGGAAGCTGGATACCATTAGAAGGAACTGGTGACACTGGAACTGTCTCAAATGTGGGCTGATAGGCAAGGAAAAATGATCAGACTACAGTGAAAGTCAATGTCTGTGGACAGAAACTGCTACAGTTTAAGAAACAGTGAATCATTCTCAGCTTACACTCTGCCAAGTTTAAACAACCTGTTGTGATTTTTCATAACTGAGTACATTTTTCATAACTGAGCCTCAGAATTAATCTTCCCCAGGCTGCACAGATTTGAATCATGTTGAGGTCAGCGATATTGCAGCTCACTGTAGCTAATGAGTCCTGCCCTGCATAAGGACTGAAATTAGCTAAATAAATTGCTGTATGTAACTGTACTAAGTGAAAGATCCTTTTCAAATTGTAATCCATCCTGTTTTTAGTCACTTTGCTCACAAATATTCTTGTGGACACTGACACATGCTGAACATCCCAACCACCTGGCAGACACTGGACTGTTCTCCACCAATAGGTTATATGCTAACACCGTATCAGAGAACTGAAAATATTGTTTTGAAGGGAAAAAAGACATTAATTTCATCATTCTACTGCAGAAATCATTCTGCAGTATATGAAAATGGGGGAAGTATGTGCTGCATTGTGGAGAAAGGGCTCTGACATCCGAGGTGACATCCAGGCAGAATCACCTCTCCCTGTCTTCTTGGATTTGCCCTTGTGCTTGACAGGCGTGGGCCTGATAAAGACAAATCCAAGCATGTGTGTGTGTATATGGAGAGTAGCAGCCCACCTGCACTTTTTTGGTAAACAAAAGGCAATAATTTAAAAATGCTCTGAATGATATCAAGTGAAAACCACACTACAATGCTCCCAGCCAGCCTTAAATATATGTTTTTTGGCTCTCCTTTGTTTCCTAGTTAGGGATCCCTGCCTGAAACCTGCTGCATCCCAACCCTGAATCTTAAGGGGCAGCCCCTGAATTGCTGAACGCACAGCTAAGAGCCCCTAAGAGACTGGAGCAGCAGCTCTTAAATTGCTCTCTAAATTGCTACATCGGCTGTTTATCACAAAGCTGCAGTGCCTCATGGCAGTATTTATTGTCTTTTCCTGATTAAAAAAATGTCACATGTTTAAAAGGCAGGCAGCTTTTCCAATTGCAAACCTGAAATAAGAGTACAGTTGTTTTATTCAGTTTTATCCCCTAAGTTACTTGGGTAACAAAGTCAAATGTAACATGAATACAATCGCTCCTGAGAGAGTCCATTTAATGGGCTGCAAACTTGATAGCAAACAGGATTTGAGTCACACGGACTTCCTTTGCCAGTATACCATACAAACCACTGATTTTTTTTCATGGAGAACTGTATGATGCTGTCATCATAAAATCACATAACATGTCTACACATGTTTTCCAGACATAAAAAAGTAATGTAAATTTCAGGTGGGAATATGGAAATGGAGAGGTCTGTAAAACTTGCCTCTATGATTTCAGAAAATCAAACATAAGCATAATTATTCATCTTCCAGATGGAGGAATGAATGGTAAACAAGCAACGGGCTCATCTACATTTGCTACTCAAAATGTCTGGCCTTACAATCAGAATCAGAATAAATTCACTGTGAGTCTGGCTTATTGAGGAAAAGTCTTGCTCCATTGATACACAAGTGAAATCAACAGTGAAGCTGCTGCTGCCAGCAGCTTCTGCTAAGCACAGCTGGATTGGAAAATGGAGCTGAGAGCACAGCTCTGCCTCTCACTCAGCAGTGCCTAAAGGCTGCTAGTGCTTGTGGCAGCTGGATAGCAAGAAAACATTTAAAAAAACAAACATATTCTTCCTCTAATTTCCCAGCCTTCACAGGGAGACTATATAAAGAAAAAAAATCTCTTTTTCCTTTTGTCATAGTTTTAGGGTTTTTGTTATCGGTATTCCACATCATAACATCACGTAATGCACTGGGAGTTAAAGAGTAGAAATTTCCAAATGCAACCAACTTGCATTTGGGTACTAGGGCAGGAGCTTTTTATTTATTATCTTGTTTTGAATCTTAGGTCAATAGGGACAAAATCTTTTTAACAAATGATTCATTTTTTAACAAATGATTTTTTTTTTTTTTTTTGGTTCTGTATTGCAAAAAAGATTTAAAAACTTTGGAATCTCATTTCTTAATGAATGCCAAAGGCTGAAGGTCGAATTGTGTCCTTACCCAAATTAGGACAGCGTTATTCATTTGGCTGGAGGTCCAGTCAGTGCAAGACTTCATATATCCTCATTTCTTACTGAAAGTGATTCAATAGAAAGTTCTCAATTCCTGATACTAAAAATGAGCCCAGTGTTTACTAGCATAACATACACAGGAATTTCCAATGGGGAGTGGAAACCAGAAGAGCAAGAAAAAGATGGAGATGAGATAGTCATTTCTTTAGTAGTTCACCTCCTTGTAGAAGACATAAAAATAATTTGTTGGAGCATCAAAGCAACACAGTTCTGTTGCCAGCCCTACAGCTAAGGAAAATAAAAGCAAAAGAGGTAGCCCTATAGCTCTAATCAGGATACAAATTGCCAGTGCTTTAGTTAAATTCATATTTCCAAGTGGTGCCATCACAACTGCCTTTTCATGCAGATAGTTCTGGGTTAGTTAGCAATTCTTTCTTAATTAGGACATTATTTTCTCATGTATTGCTCAAGTAAAATTTTCAGAAAACTCTTGAGGAGTTTTAGTAGACCCCAACATATAGGGTTAGAGCTACGAACAAGCATGATACTTCATCTCCTTCCTCCAATAATAAATCAATGTTTTTCCATGAATTTATATTCTGCTGCTGATTTCTTCAAGCTTTGGGCACTAGCAGTGCTGACGGCTTCTGATGGAAGCAGCAGGGAATCAACAGTAAGGAAAATCAGGCCACTGTGATTAATAAACCATCCAATTTGAATCCTTGCAGCATGGCTGCCAGTGGAGCCTGTTGATACCAGCCTTCCTGAAGTAGAGCACCTTATCTGGAATAAGGTCCTTCCCCAAAGTTCTTTCATAGGGACAAAGCGTCACAAGCAATTGATTTTGCCTTCAGCATTCACTGCACCTTCCTACTAGAAGAAAAAGTAGGAAAATGTAGCTTCATTTCCTTTCACTTCAGTCCCTTTGGACTGTTCAGGTAACGCTCCTGCCCTAGTACCCTTTACTTAGTGTTGATCCACACAGGAGCTGGCTGCCAGACAGTAACAGGAAAAAAAAAACAACACACCAGTAAGCAAAGATTTTTCAGAACACACAAAAGAAAACAAAGCAAATCTTTCTCTGCTCTGGGATGTCAACTATTTATACAGCGTCAACAGTCTTGTAAATCTCATCTCAGGTGACCCTAGTGAGCTAATCACCTCTCATCATTAGGCACTGAAAAGAGTAATCCATCTTGTGTGCCATCCCTCTGAGCTCCTGTAACTCCCAGGTTGTTGGGAAGAAGGTGTAAATCTATCCTCCAAAAGGGGCAGATTATAGAGTTACCTGAAGCAATTACAGCTGTTTGGCTATTTGCAACGTATTTATTTATGCCCCACCTGCTCTCACTTACTATCAAAAAATAAAAATAAAAAAAACAAAACAACAAAACTGGATGAGAGAGCAAAGAACTTCCTGCATTGTCTTTATACCAGTATCTCTTCAGCAGCCATGCTGAAAAGACTTGCTCCTCACTGTCCCCTGCTGCTCTTGTTTTTTTTTTGGAGCTTTTTTTAAAATCCAGATCACTTTCCCAAACCAATTCATCACAAAGATTCTCTGACAGCTGCAGTGCCATGCTCAAAGACTCAGCTGAGCGTGAGGACCCGCTTTAGCTGCTATTGCCTCACACAGAGCTGTTCAGGATACTGAAACCTCAGCTAACACCCCCTAAAACGCTGGTCTGCTGCATTCTGCAAATGCACTCACACATCCTTCCATCCCAGAAGAGCTGATAATTAGGATGGGTTTTCTAAAGCCCATAAAAAGCAGAAGAGATAGGAGCAATGGTTAATGGGAATATTTAAAGGGAACCTTGCAGACTTTTAGAAATACAATCTGCTTTGTAGTCTCTTGGAGGGTGGTGATGGTGTTTGCTGCAGCTGTGTTTGTATATCTTTGTTTAACACTTAGGCAAGTACCCTGTAGAACTGCATATTTTTGTGGGAAGAAGTAAAGGTCTTAATTACTTTTTTCAGTCTTTTTTTTTTCTTTCAGGTTCTCACAATGCAAAACAAATGAGAGAGCTGAATTTTGGAGGATGTAAAACAATGAATTAAAAGACAATGAATGGGAAGTTTCTTATTCCTTTAACAAGTGAAAAATAGCAGAGAAAAGTTAACAGGTCAAAAAAAGATCAATACTGTGCCCATCTGAGTTACAACCATTGTTTGCCTGATTTAAATTTATTAGAAAACTTAAGCTTTGATAGCATTATTAAAAATTATAAGTGCTTTAATGCATATAGATACTTGAAGCAGAAGAAGTATGCTAATCTAATAAGAAATGCCATCAGCTTTTTAATGTTCATGCAAACATGCTAAGCAGTTCTCATGCAAGAAAGTTTGCCCACAGGAAACTACTGGGTGCTTATGGAAATATTTGTGGGATTTGTCTATCACATAGAGGTGAGGCTGTAAAGAGCCCAGGTACTTTTAAGTGGAGACAAACAAATTAATCCACTAGACATTATATTTTTTGTTATCTTAAAATAATTATGCAGCTACAATTTTATTTCTTCCTTCCCCCCCCCCCCCCTCCCCTTTTTTAAAATTCATTCAGGATACCAGTTCTTGAGGAAAGGTAGGACAAATAGAAAAGCATAAAACAATTTCATATAAGAAGTTTCCTAGATTTTTGTAATAATAAAAAGTTTAATTTTAAAGGTGAATTTGTGAGCTTATTGGTGGTCCCCTAATAAGGTATCATGAGTCAGTCATCCAAAATCAAATGTCGCTTTGGGCTGAATATGCATGGCTGACTGCATTTACCTAAATCAAACAGTGAAGGGATCAGAATTGGTGCTCTTAGAGCTATCCTCAGGGAAAAATGGATGAATCCACCAGGGGCAATGCTTGTTTCTGATGCTGTGAAATAAATGAATAGTTAATAGATTTTTGTTGGCTATGTAAGTGAAATGTAACTGCCAGCATACCAGTTGCAATTGTGCTGGCAGGTGTTTAATTGCTTATGCATATTTGAACCCCAGTTGCTTCATTAGAGAAGCTTTACTTCACTGCTGGGACTGTTGAGAAAATAGCAAGCGTCCCCAGAAGTTAGAAAAAATTTGAACAACTGCCAAGAGTAACTCATCAAGTTCCAAAAAATAAGGGAGTAAATGTTAGTCTTGGAAGGAGGTTTCAGGAGAAGGGCTGGCAACAGATACAACATTGTGCTGCAGGTTAGCTGCAAAATTGTCTGCCATCTATTTTATTTGGTTTCTTCCTTTCCTCTCAAAATGTAGCAAATACAGCACTAAAAGCCTGGACTTAGTGTTAGGAACTTGTATTGGCTGGCTGTGTACCATCAGCAAAAAAGATGGTAAAAAGATTCATGCACTACTTGTAAAACACTTAAAAAAAAAAAAAAAAAAAAAAAGCTCAAGACCATTCTTTTGAATTCGTTAGCTACTTACAGAAGAGTCATTGGTGCCAAAGATGTCTCGCACATCCCGGACCGTATGCTTGTTCTTCTTCCTCAGGGTCTGAGTGTATGTGTTGTACCTCTTCTGTACGGCAGCAGCTTGTGTTCGGGTCAGAGTGGACAGCAGGGCTTGGCCATCCTCCTCCTCAGCTCCTGAGATCAGGGTAGATAAGCCTACATCCTGCAGCCACTCGGCCTCCAGTTCCCCTTCTGTGGAGGAAGAGAGCATAACCTGGTCTTGATGGAGAAGGAGAGAAGGGCAGGAAGGAAGAGAAGTAGCGTGGAGGACTGCTGTGTCTGCCTTTACCTCCAGAAGGCTCCACTTCCAATCCTTCTTAGGCCAAGATTCCAAGTTTATTCAGCTTTTGTCACCATTCTACCAACTCTCAGTTTGATTGCACAACAGAGGTTTAGGAAAAGATCAGAGGAGGTGTTTTTGACCTGTACAATAACATCTTCATGTGAAGAAGGCAGCCTGATGCAGCAAGTTTGCTAAAGGCCAACTCCTCATGCAAGAGAATAAATCCTCAGTTCCTACTCAGACCATGTCAAATGAAACCATGTAAACAGAAATTAAATTGGTATTCTAAGTAAACAAAAATACTGAAGTAATGTATACAATACAGCAGTGTGTTTGCACACAAATGATGAGAAGATTAAAGATGCTTTAAAAACCCTCCATCAGCTGGTAATCAAACACTTTGGAAAGGTGACCAATGGAGAAAAGCTTGATGTTCAGACAATCCAATAGCCATTTGGACAAGATAACTAAGAGCCAGAGCCACTCACTAAAAAGCAAGTAGGGATAGGTATCAAAGAAGTCAGGTAGAGGTGCAAGATGCAGAAATAGCTAACTTTTAGATGTCATCCTGATTTCTACTAGTTAAAGACTGGCTAATAATCTACTTCCCCAGGGGTTCTGGACACCCAGATCATTGACTAATACCTCCTTTTGCCTTGCTTAGTGCCAATTTATGAACCAGCTCCACAGTGAGATTATACACAGTGTGAAACAGTGTTTTCTGTCTTTGAGTTTCAGCTTGCTACTGCTACCTGCTACCTTAGATGAATATTCCCTGTCACTGTGGAGCAGGAAGACGCTTCCAATCTACCTTTTCTGACTCACTTTGTAGTTTTAAGTTTTGTTGTCACTGCCTTTTCATTTATCTGCTTTCTAAAGTAAACAATTATAGTCTTTTTAAATCTCTCATCACAGAGAAGATTTTAAGAGCCTTCATTTTTATTCTGCCTGTGACCAATCCTGCTTCAGCAATATGCTGCTTGAAACAAAGCAATCAAAACAATAATTGTATTCCAGCTTTGACTGCAGTAAAGGTATTACAAATAAACACACCAAAGAGGAAATTGACTAATTTTCAGACAGTTCTGTAAAGTAACTTGTCTGTACGCTCACTGTTCCTCTTGCAGCACTGGTGTCAATGATACGCTCATCTTCTCACTCTTTCTTTATTGCCTCCTCTTGGTAAAATTGGACTGCAGGTAGATTGATAGACACCAGTTTACTTCACTTTGACTGTTTGATACATGAAAAAGAGAATTACAGTCTTGGTTGGTAGGGGCAAATGAAAGAGTGTACACATGTGCTATCACTGGCTTCATGGCTAACTGCCTTGTCTCTTCACAAAGCTCTACAAAAATAACTGCCTCTAGAAACACAGCTCTGTGTTAGGCTGAGGTTTGACCAGTCTTGTATGCCATGAAACAGATCATAGATGCTGAAAGGATCACAATGGAGACAGGAGGACATTCCTCCTCTGTCAGTTTTGATCCTGAGGCCATTCTGTCATCCTCATTCTTCTTCCTAACAAGACTTCATTTCTGAGTGCTGCTGTCCTACCCACAACCATTCAAGTTTCATTTTCCAAATTATATTCATTTTGGCTTTTGTCCTGAAATTATTTCCAAGAATTTTGTTTTTAATCATACATGGTTTTTATGATGCAATGAAAAATAGTAAAGTAGACATGTAATTCTGTCTGTTTACCAGGCACCCTTGTGACTGTTTTCTCTGGCCTTTTCCCTTTTTCTGTTTCAGCCACTTACAAACATAGGCTAAGACAGAAAAAAACTCTCAAAAAGTTTATGAAAATAAGTTTAAGTAAGAGCTAACAAACCTATATTGTTTTTAAAAATATTATTTTTTATAGTAGTAGCTACTCATTCGACAGGGTCACTGTTGTTGATCCTGCTCCATCAGAAGATAAACAGACAGTAGAGAGGACCATTGGCCAGTACTTTTCTTTTGCTCTCAGAGACTGCTAGAAAAGGTGTGTGCCTTTTTTTGAATTTCAAATATAAGCCCAAATATCTCATCCCAAACTTCTAAAATGAAGTGTTAATAAGTGTCTGGCTGCTATAGTCCTTTTGGTTTCTTAAGGATTCTGCACCTTTTCTTCTCAAAGAGATCTTAACAGGATGATGAATATTTGTTTTTATTTTACACTGGGGACTTCCACATTGATTTTCAGTGTTTTGATCCTCGTCACGGAGTATTAACCTATTAGTATGTTAATAGAACTCATGATTATTTCCAAGATTTATAATCTTAGACTGAATATATTACTGAAGATAATAACTAGAAGAAGAACTCCCTGCTTGTGTGTGGGTGTATGTACTACATAAGTGTGTAAAACAACAATATAAAGGTAAATGAAGTGTGGAGATGTATTGCATTTTACATTGCAGTCACATCTTTAATTCGGGACAGAGAGGAAAAAATCAATGCAGTGTAATGAGGTGAAATCAGATGAAGGATAATATGGAACTACAGTACACTTTGCATTGGTATGAAGATTTAGCTGAGCAGTGATGAGAGCAACAGAAAAGTTTTTGACAACTGGTAAAATAGGCTCCTGCATTTCTTTGTCCTACTAACTTAACTGGCTTGCAACTTTCCCCTGATGTTGGGGAAAAGTCATGGACACATCATTCACACTGAAAATTGCATGAGGGAAATACCATGATGTTCACAATCTCATCTTGTGCTGGGGAACCCAGAACTGAACACGGCACTCCAGATGTGTCCCCACCAGTGCTGAGTGGAACAGAAGAGTCACATCCCTTGATCTGCTGGTGATGTTTTTCCTAACATAGCCAAGAACACTGATAGCCTTCTTAGTGGCAACAGCACGTTTTCCCAATAAGGGCAAACTGAGGCAGATTGTTTTTCTGAGTTCCTGTAACAATAATCATAATTTTTCAGTGTTACACTTCCATTTATCTTTATTTGAGATCACAGGCCAACAAAAAGAAGTGCAGTTTGGTTTTAAGCTGCCAGACCTCGTCCATTATTGAAAACAGACTTCTGGTAAATGGAGGTCTTCTACTTTTGTTCCCAAGAGAGGAGACTAGAACTAGTGAGTGGAAGTCATTCACCATGGAAACAGCATGTAGTTAGAGCTAGATACCTCTCTGTTGGATACTTATCATGAATGATTACATATCTGATTACTAAATAAAGTAACACCCTTTACCCTTTTCAACCCTTTTCCTGGTAGCAAAATTAATGATATCCTATTGCATGTAAAGGTAAGAAAAGCACACTTCACTCATGTTAACAACAGCATGAAGAGAATACACCATTCTTTCAAAATCTATCTTTAGATCAGCCATTCCCAGGCTACTGGCCTTGATCCTCAAAATGGCTGCAATAATCAGTGGGCCTTGACCTCAGAAAAATTTCAGTTCCATCTTTCGTTAACACCTGGTATTTTGTGTTGTATAATAAAATATATTTGTAAGTGGAATCATAACTGGGAAAAGTTAGAAGACTTGTTCCAGATGTAATGTATAGAAGAGATCAATGAGTTTTAATAAGTAAGGAAGCTGAAGAATGTAGGCATCTTTATATTCAGACTCATCTCTAATATCTCCTTGAGTTAATCTCAGAGAAACAGGCAGCCACCAAACTGCTTCAAGACTTTCATAACTTCTACTTTATATCCTACCAAAAGCCAGAAAGTAGAAAATTCCAATATATAATTGAACTTTTCTGTCCTTTAATGAATTTTGGTTTAGATTATTAAATGCTGGAGATAAAGTTTTCTTTTAGTGCTTTTCTTTCCTGACTCAAAGTAATCTGTATTTTAATCTTGCTCATAATAGGGAAAGAGAGAAAAGCATCACCAAAGAGATCAGGAAATGCTAAGGTGTCTAGAAGTGGTGTTTATGTGCTTACCATCAGCAGGCTTGAACTCCAAGAGTGTTGCTTCTTCAGGCCCATCTTCACTGCTCTCCTTGATGCTCTCCACTTCGCACCAGAAGTCCTCCATGGAGGTGCTGTCCACAGAGGCCTGAGAGTTGGAACGAGTGAATACTGGAGGACTTGTTGGCATTGACTCATTGGAAAGCATCCTGTTAATTCTTCGGCAGCGAGGAAGAGATTTTCTGAAAAGAGACAGAGATGAAAATTAAAAATATTTTACTTTTCTAATAGCCATGCAACCAGGGTTTCAAATGTGGCTGTACCAGGAAGGCCAGGAACAAGATGTTGGAAGCAAAGGACACAGTTCTGGTGGTCTTCATGATTTCTCTTGCTTATAAAAGTCATGATTGGAGATTTGTTTTCATCCAACAGTTTATCTCTTTAAAGACTTTTAATGTTTTACCTGAGAGGGGAACTCAGGAGATGCAATTTTTATTTCTAATACCGCTACCCTTCTAATGAGACAATGAAAAAGGATTTTTACTTCTTTGTGCCTCAGCTTTCCTTTCTGTCTCTTTCTGTTTTGTTTACTCACTGAAATACTTTTGAGGAAAAATAATCAGAGTTGGGAACACTGAAATTACAAACTCATCTTGTCCCCACTAACTGTGCATATTACAAAGAAAAATATGAGATTATTTAGACAGAAGAATAATTATTTTTTCCATTTGAAAATTCTGTTTAAAATATTTTTAAAAAACAACTTCAAAATAAATAAAATCTTCAAAAAAAATCTTAAAAGTGAAATCATATATTTATTTTAGGACAAACAGAAGATTTCAATCACTGTTTAAAAAAATTGATTCACTAAAAATCAAATTTCAAGTTACAAATCAACACAAAGATTTCTTCTCTTAAATTAATTTTTGGACTTTTAGTAAACCAACAAACTTATCCCTTGTTTCTTTGTTCTTTTCTTTTCCCATTGTAAATTCATACAGGTGAAGACAGTTGTATAATTTCACAGAAAATTTTATGAAATACCCACTGCAAAAGTCTTATCTAACTTTGTTCTGTCACATTATTACAGCTGCGATACTTTAAACAAGTGTAATTACAGTAATTACAGTAGAAAGTAATACAAACCACCACAATATTTGTACAAAGGAGTCAAGAGGTAGCATAATTATGACTAGAGAGCTAGACTGCAGGAATTAATGGAAAATTATGTCATAAGGTCTTCTGGCCTTCACTTATCTGAATTAATTCAAATGCAGTTTCCCTTTCTCTTCCTTTCCTTTATGGCATCATCCTGCCAACAGCCCTTTGTTTAAAACCACAAACATCACTTTTACTCTGTTAAAAAAAAGATGCTTCCTTTTCAGTATTTCCCTCCTTTTCTAAGGTCTCCTAATGGATGTAAAAACACTGCAGTATATAATGAAGCTGACTAGATCTATAGTCCTGGGGCCTGCTCCCATCACTTGGGTGGGCTCAGGCATTCCTTCCATGCTAGCTCTGAGCTCAAACACAGCAGGGTGTAATGTGGACAATTTGGATGCAAACCTGCCTATATGCTACTAGCTAGCTGCAAAGCTTTCAGATGGATGACCAAACTTCAGTGGGCCAAAATGTGCTGTTGTGCTACAGAGACAAATATCCTCCAGGAAAAGAGGTGCCACTTTCAGTGCTTTTATCTTTTTTTCTCTTCTCACAGATAGCAAATGACTGTTTTTAAGCACAACACTGAAACTGTTATTAATTAGGATAAGCCCCAGTCATGGAACGTGAGAAGAACTTGTGACACACGTGGTTAAATCTATTGGATGCTCACCACATAGTCTTCTGCTGAGGGGACATGAGCTTTTAGTGTTTGTTCAACACAACTCAGGTGAATGAGGTACCTTGCCAATAAACCATTACTGCAATGGGTATGGGGCCTGGGATCTTTTTGCTTGGATTTGCCTTTCTCTCTTCCTTCAGCACCAGCAAGGAAATAAAACTGTGGGCCTCACAGATATCACAAGTATTGTGCCAAGTGTCCTGAAGCAGAGATGTTAACTAGGAGAAGCTGAACCCCTGAGAAACAGCCAGAAAAACTCTGTGCAGTCAGTGGGGAGAGGGCTGGGATGGGGAAGCAGTCCCTGCTAGCCAATTGCTCACTGCTATGAGAAGTTTTGCTCCTTTGTTTGAGAGGTGATAGCGAACACAAATAAGGAAAAAGGCAAAGCTTCCTGGCACTCTCAAGGCCTTTGGGGCCCCTTTCCACTCAGCACTGTGCAAGGAGAGAGCCTATGCCAAGGGCTTGTGTCCCTCCCCAACTTCCTCTGTAGCTTGGAGTTCTGCCTGAGCCCCCCACATTGCTGCTCATTACATATCGATACCAGTATTGGCCTAAAGTTTTGTTAAAAAATAAGTCTCCACATCTGCTCTAGAGCACTGCCCAGAGCAGCACTCGCAGAAATAACACTCTCACTGTGCTGGAGTCAAAGGCATGCTGGGATGAGCAGAGGAGTTTTTCCTTTTTTTTTTTTTTTTTCACTTTGCTGCCTTCCATCACTTAGTCATGGTCAGGGAATTTAAACACTTCCTGCCCTCCCAGTGTGAGTCTTGACCATGACCCCTGTGCTCTTCGGGCACCACACCAGACTGATCCCTGGGCTTTGACTCCATCAGCACTTCTAACAGCTAACCCAAACCAGGGCTTTTCATTTCACCATATTAGGAAGAAAGAGGCTTGGCGGGTTGTTTCTTTTCTCCTCACAGTGAGTTCTGTAATATTACCATACCGAAAAGCTAAATGCAAAACAGATCACGTAACATGGCAACAACTGCTGTGACAACCAGCTTTACCAAATACGTCAAAGGTTACTGGGTAATTAATGTACATTTACAGCAATATTAAAAGTATGGAGCTATTTTGAAAATCAACTGAACAAAGTCTGCTGAGAATTTCATATCTGAAACTTGTGCCCAGATTAAATCTCGCTGTGTAAAATTCCTGTAACAAGAAAGATGAGGCGGAGATGCTTTATCCTTATTGGTAAACAACTGAAGCTTGCTTCCAGGTGGTCTGGTACTAATCTTCTCCAATTATTCTCGGTCTCATGTGCTGGAAAAGTTCTCTGGCTGCTATTCTGACCCATATACCTGGAGCTTCTGCCCTGGAGGAAGTGGTCTTGTTTTATGTAATAATGGCGGTTGTCTCCACTTCCTCTACTCAAAGTTGTTAAAAACAGTTTCAGGAAAAAGGAGAGAATTCCCACTGAGGAAGCAAAGCATATTCGTCACTGCTTTTAATTCTTTCTTGGAGGACGTGAGTACTGACTCAGCATGCCTGTCTCAGAAATAGCTCAACATGCCCAGGTTGGCTGTCACTTGGGAACTCTGGTAGCCGGAAACCTATGTTCCTTATATCTTTCTCAGCCTTGAGGTTTTTTTGGTTTGTTTGCCCTTTTCCTCAGTGTCTACAGAGAAATTTACAAGGATATTTTTTTTCTTCTAAGCCAAGTCTGTTGTTCTTACAGAAAATTTGAACAGCAGTCTGGTTAGACAAGGACTAATCACAAAGCTCATGCTCCATTTCCTCTGGTACCTCACACATGCGGGCAGTGGTGAGCTAATCTGAAAGGCTGACTGAAACTGAGTGCAGGAAGGGTCTCAGATCTGGTTTCCTAGATGGAAAACACTGGTAGAAAAAGATGATGAAGTACCAAAAAAAATTACAGTGACTTCACTGAGCGAGTGAAACTGTTTTCAGGATGCAATTATAAACAAAACAAAACAAAACCCCATGCAGATACAAACCAAAATACTTGAAAACAAAAGAAAATGAAAGAAGGGAAAAGTATACTACAGTGGTTAATGTTATCAAAGAACCCTTCTATTGCTGGGAATCAGTCACACAAGAAAGGGTTGAAGAGTGCCAGTAAGGAGAAGCATGATGGTATCTTGTAGAGAGCGAATTTTGCAAAGAAGTGGGGTATTTCTATGGGACATAATGAGATTGATTCGTCTGCGTGTGACTCTAGTTAGCAATTTTGTTGTGTTTGTAATGCTGATAAAATGCAGTAGCAAAGCAGGTCCACTGAACCTATGATTTTTGTTTTGTATATCGAGCAGCAATAAGCTGTTGGGGGTCTGCCAGCACACATTGAGTTCAGGATAGCAATGGTAAATCCAGTAAGCACTTCTTATCCTATCCCCAAAGCAGAGGTTAGTCACACTGCATGAAGAAGTGGTTCAGTGACACTTAATGATTGCTCATGGGCTGACTAATGAGAAAGCTAGGCTTGTGTTTTCAGTTTAATTAAGTAATGGGTGGTAAAGAATCCATAAAACAGACAGGGAGCAATAAAGCCACCTTGTAGTTAAAAACAGCATTCAATCCTTGTTTACACAGAGACAGAACATCTTATTCTTGTGGATCATTACGTTTGATTTAATTCAGTGAGTCCTGAATTAAGTTCATCACAATTAGTCACATTTACAGGAAAGGAGAAGAAGCAGGAAACAAATTATCCTGGCCATTTGAGCACCAAAAGCCACCTTTGCTTATTACAATCATTCTATCAGTGTACTCACTCATTCCAGTGAAGTCAGTAGTGCCTGAATAACGCAACAGCAGCAGAGTACTTTGTTGTTGTCTGTCTCCAATCTTTCTTACAGTTTATCATAACTATTACTCAACTTTTGACAAAATAAACAATTACTCTCTTTCTGCTTAACTTTTCTTGGATGTAGAAAGGGAGATAGTACCTTGTATTGGCAGAGAAACAACATTTCTACCTCTTAGCTAAGAACTATGTTTTTGTCTGTTTTGAATTTTTAGGAAGCAGTCATGTACCAATGTTTCCTTTTTCTTTTTTCCTCAAATGTGTAAAAGCTCCAGGCAGAGTCCAGCAACTGGAAATATTACCTCTGTGCACAGTTCACAGCTTGTTTTCAGCCAGTACTCTTCCCCCAAATCTCTCATCTTCTGCTTCCTTCCTGATGACCCGATTTGCTGTCTGCTTGCTTCCTTCTCTCTGTTCTCAGTGGCTTTTAATCACAGAGAGGGGTATATGTCAGGCAACATTTCCCAACTCCATCTGCTTATTTCTCTTTCTGATTATCTTGCAGATGTTAGAAAAAAATGTAGGCAGTGGACTCTAAAGTTTCATTTTTCTTTCTCTAACATCTAGCATTTGACCTGTCATGCTCATTAATTGCACTGAGGTGTCACAAGCCTCTCTAAGAACAG